CAGCTAACCATTTTTAAACTGTTAAAGCAATAGTTTTATTTTTCATTTTGGGAAAAGGGTATTCTATAAATTAATGAAAGTTGACCATTGTAAGCACTCCTGTCAGTGTTAAAAGGTTTGCCTCAACCTGATAACTGCCACTTTTTCTGGAAAGCTTGGTCTGTTAACCACTTGCCTACTGGGCACTTATACCCTCTTTCTAACTAGGCCAGTTTTCAGCTTTCAGTGCTCTCATACTTTGGGTACAGTACAGCATGAGTAATTGTCATTCAAACTATTTTTTTTAATAATTTTTCTTTTCACAGAAGCACAGAATCCAAATAGCACCTTTAGATATTCTAGAGGCATAAATTACACATCTAATTTCATGACTACCTATTCCATATTTTTTGAAGGACCTGGAGCACCAGGACAATGGAATTACCCACAAAACAACCACATTTTGTATGGCAAACACCCCAAGGTATATTCTTTGAGGTATAATGAGTCTTTTGAACATGTCATTTTTTTCCACAAGTTTTTGGAAAATATGGAAAGAAAATGAAAACTTTTTTTTACACAAAGTTTTCCATTTATAAGATATTTCTAACATACAGCATGTATATACCAAGAATTACACCCCAAAATACATTTCACTGAGCAAAAGGATAAAAAACATTACCTGTGGTTTTAGCAGGGACGAGGTCAGTGACAGCGAAAGGAATCGTCCAGGCAGCAGGCAGGAAAACTGCCCATAGTCAGTACAGGCAGCAGGCAGAGATATTGTCAGCACAGCCAAATCATTGGTCCAGGCAGCAGGAAGAGATGTGGTCAGTAACAGCCAAATGAATTGTCCAGGCAGAAACATTGTCAGCACAGCCAAAGTATTGGTCCTAGCAGTAGGCAGGATAAGGGTCCATAGTCAGTACAGGTAGCAGGCAGGAGTGTAGTCCGTTCAGGTGGCAGGCAGAGGCATGATCAATTAACAGAAATAATATATAAACAGCGCAAATCAGAAGACCTCCTCACCAAATATATAACATCAATCAACAAAAACAATATATAAATCAATATGAATATTGTTGAAAATAAAATAATTTATAAAGTGTCCAAAAAATTTTTTAATGTGTAAAAAATATATTTAAATATAAATAAAATAAAAATATTAATTCATTTTATTTTTATTTTTATTTTATTTTAATTTTAGGTCTTCTGATTTGCGCTGTTTATATATTATTTCTACTTAGTGGTGTATTACACCAGTGCACAGCAACATTTTTTTACCTATATCATCTGTTGAAAGGTTTTCTTGTGCGCTAGGGTTGTGATATATTTATGATCAATTAACAGGCCATGGTCAGTCGACAGCAGGCAGAAATATCAAGCTTAGAGCAGGTAAGACCTGGGCACAAGGGTAGAGGCTTCTTCCCACCCAAATCTCTTCAAAGCCTACAGTATACAGACCCTAATCCGAGATTTACAAAACCTGGAGAAAACCAAAAACAGTTCTCTTCATTTGGAAAAACTCCTCTGTGGCCCCTCACATACGCGAGACTACTGTGTTATCCAAGCAGAAGGCAAAAAACATGGTAAATTAACAGGCCGAGGTCAGCTCAGGGGGAAGGCAGAAAGGTGGTTGATAAACAGTCTAGGGGGCAGGCAGAAGCATCATCGATAAACAAGCCAAGGTCCGTACAGGTGGCAGGCAGAGGCATGATCAGTTTAGGCGGCAGGCAGAAGCACCATCGATAAACAAGCCAGGGTCCATTCAGGTGGCAGGCAGAGGAATGGTCAGTTTAAGGGCAGGCAGAGGCTTGGTCGAATAACAGAGGCATGATTATTGTTATGTCAAATGGTCAAATACAGGGATATGGCAAGAATTCAGAACTACGTTCACCATACTTCACTAATAAACATTCTCCTATGCATAGGCCTGGTTGGGAAGGACACTGGGGACAATAATAAGTGGTATCTAGTCTAACTCCCCCTCTGGAGCACAACCTATATTTTTTGGATGTTTTTCTGGGAGGGACTTTATTGGGAAAACGGCGTTCATGCAGTCTGCTCACTGCATTTGAGTGAATGCTTTCTGGTGGGGGGCCTTCCTGGTACATAAGGGCAGTGATGATTTCCTTTTGGCATAGGAGAAAGGGTTCGGGACTTTCTTGTACCAGTGGTGGTTTCTTATTGTTGCAAGGTAGGTTTGGATCATCTGATCGTTGTAGTTGACTCCCCACATAAACTCATGGACACATTCGGGCTGCTGGCTGGGCCATTCCTTCTGTGGATTTGAATGGTGGTGTCACTGTGGATTGAGAAAAGCATGTAGATGTCTCTTTTGTCCCTCCACTTAATAGCCAATATTTCCTCGTTCCGCAAACTCACCGACTCCTCTCGTCTTAGTTTTGTATTTACCAGCCTTTGAGAGAAGCCCTTCCTATTAACTCTCACAGTGCCATGCTGCCTCTACCTTCTGGTAGAGAATGCGGAAAAGGGGAAAGCTGGTATAATAAATATCAACGTAGAGATGATAACCTTACTCAAAGAGTGAGAATACAAGGTTCCAAACTATTTTCACACATGTTCCAATATAATATTGGCAGTTAGAGGGATGCAGCTGAGTGTCCTTTCCTTTGTATACATAGAAGGCATACATGTATCCTGTGGCTCTGTAAAGTTGTAAAGTTTCACCCTATATCGGGCCCTTTTACTGGGGATAAACTGCTTGATGCCCAGCCTCCAGTGAAGTGAACAAACGACTCATCCACACAGATGTTTTTGTTCAGGATATATAATTGTAAGAAAATTAAGAAGTGGCTGAATTTCATATAGTTTATTATATGCTGGGTCATTTTGGGGAGAAAACTGGGTTATCATTGTAATGGAGGAACCACATGATCATAAATTAATGTGTTCTGGCCATAACTGATGAATAAATGGGCATGTGATGAATGGGGTGGGTGGACCAGTAGGAGTATAATTCATCTTTTTTGTAAGTCTCAAAATACATGTGAGGCCCAAAGAGATCCTGAACTCCTCAACCATTAATGGTTTCCATTCTTAGGGACAGGCATAATATGAAGTTGGGTTGTTGGCTATAAATTGTTGGGCATAGAGGTTGAACTGGTCCACAATTGAGCTTAGTAAATCTGTGGTGAAAAACTAAATAAAAAAAAATAAATGGGGGCAAAATTTTCCGATATGTTCTGGACACCTGGATGTGCAGTAAAAGGGGAGATATTAGGTGCTCCTGAGTTTGGGGGAAGCCACAGAGGGTTTTGACATATGGAAGATTGTCATGGGCCCTAACCCTTTGGACTGACATGACAGCCCACTAATACCTGGCCTTTTTTGCAGAGGTACTTCATTTCTGGTGGATGCCTCTACGCTACTAGTAGTTGCCTGCTTCTCGCCAGAATGCCTTCGTTTGGTGGGCACACTTTCCTCCTCCTCTGATTCCACTACTTAAAACTGGTTCGTATTCTGAACCAGAATCAGATTCAGAGACAGAGAGCTCCCCACTGCTCTAGTTGCCCATACTTAGGATTTGGTATGCCTTTTCACTGGTAAATAATTTTTTAGACATTGTGGTGACTGTGAGCTGTGGTGACACACTGCTGTAATGGGGACACTGGTACAGATGTGGCTGCACTGAAGAGGATGCAATGAAGTGTGCTATTGAGGCTGCACTGATGGTATCTGATGAAGCTGCACTGATGGGCACTAATCAGGCTGAACTGATGGGCACTGATTAGGCTGCATTGATAGGTGCTGATGATGCTGAGGCTGATGGGTGCTGATGAGGCTGAGCTGATGGGTGCTGATGGCTGAGCTGATGGGCACTGATGAGGCTGAGCTGATGGGCGCTGATTAGGCTGCACTAATAGGTGCTGATGAGGCTAAGCTGATGGGTGCTGATGTGGCTGAGCTGATGGGTGCTAATAAGGCTGCACTAATGGGAGCTGAAAAGGCTGCACTGATGAGTGCTGATAAGGATGCACTGATGGGTGCTGATGTTCACTAATCAGGCTGAAATGAGGGCCGTTGATGATACTGCACTGATGGGTGCTGATGAGGCTGCTCTGATGGGTGTTGATAAGGCTCCACAGATGGGCACTGATAAGCTACACTGATGTGCACTAATGAGGCACCACTAATGGGTACGGATGAGGCTTCACTGATGGGGCAGCACTGATGGGCACTGATAAGCAGCACTAATGTGGACAGCACTGATGGGCACAGATAAGTGGCACTGGTGAGGTAGTGCTGATATGGCCACACTGATGGGCACTGATAAGCAGCACTTGTGAGGCAGCACTAATGTGGCAGCATTGATAGGCACTGAAAAGCGGCACTGGTGAGGCAGCCCTGAGTGGCACTGATAAGTGGCATTGATGAGGGAGCACTAATGAATCACTCACTATCTCCAGTACATATAATCTCCTTCGCTCACTCTCTGTCTCTGTGTGAGGGAAGGAGACCTATCAAACTCACAATGACCATGCTTTATTTACACTTGTGATCGCGTGTTATTGGATACAGCGATCACATGGTAAAGGGCCGCTGTGATTGGCCATTTATCCCCATCTGTGATACGTTGTGTCCAATGCACACAGCAATCACAGTTACTTATCGATGGATGACCCAACAGGCACGCAGGAAGCTCGTTCACAGAAAGACATCAATGGACACCCTCCCAGATTGAGAGAGAGGCACTGTAGCCATATTTTGGCTGTGGTGCGGTAAGGAAGTGGTTAAAGGAAGTTGAAACACAGATTACTGGCTAGATCACCAAGTGAAACAAAGGAAAAAAAGCTTAATAAAAGAAAATGAATACAGCCACCACATCTAACTGCAATGGATTACATTTTTGTTTTTGGGTATGTAAGTATTAACTATTCCCATTGCGGGGATTGCTTTTTTTTTTCTTTTTGACATTTTTTTAACTATTATTTACAGGAAACTGCAATTTCCACCATAATTTCAAACAAATTTTTTTCATGTTTAATAAAACAAATTACCTGATATAAATCGGATGTCTGTATACCAATTTTGTGGATAGGTTGCAGCATAAACCATGCAATGACCTTGTAAGAAACCATTGTATGAACAAAATATCACAGCCAAAATTACTATGTATAAAGGTGTAGGTCTTCCTCTTGTGATTGCTGAATAGATAAAGGTCCTAGAGAAATATAAAGATATGGAAATTAAAAGATTGTGTAAATTAATCCACACATATTATGCAATACTACAGCATGTAAACAATAACAAATGACAGTGAATATGAAGAAATTTTAATTGTGCTTTTCATATCCATATTTCCTTATGGATTTTCATATTATAAAGAGACAGTATAAAACACTGGAAATATTCATTGTATACATTTGTTTTTCATATTTATGTTTGTAATTTAAGAAATAATGAGAATGATTAAAATCCTAATGTGATATGTATTTACAGTATTTCAGTAATCTTTTTTGAAACACTTGATAATATAATTTGCCTTTACACACACTGCATAAACCTTTCTCTATGCAAACACAACTGTATTTGAATTTTTATTTCTGAGATTTAATTTTTTTGTCTCTAATTCCAATTAATACAGCATATTAAAGTATAATTTAAAGGATAAGTTCACCTTTTAACAAAAAATAATAAATGCACATTTTTTTGCAGGTAAAATAATGTGCATTCATTATTTTTTGCTTGTGGAGCCTCTAAAGTCTAAAGCATTGTACCGGTGATCAGCAGATTGCTGGTGCCATGCAGCTCTCCTCCTGGCCTGTCAGTATATCTGCTTGCCTGTATATCTCATACGGGCAAGCAGATACTTATTGACAGGGAGGATCAATGAACTACCACAGTACTCCAGTTCATTGAAAACTACAAGCTGACAGCCACAAAGGCTGCCGGGACTTGTAGTTATCCCATTCACAGAATACTGTTAATGATGGACGCGGCCTGTTGGGTGGAGCCGTGCACGACAATGTTTTTTTTAAATTGTGATAGCTAGTGAGGGGGGAGAAGATCCCCTGCTAGATGTCACAGCAATGATTGGGGGTGTGCCATTCTGACCGTAACATGTTACACCCTGAATATGGGTGTAACATGTTACGAAAGGTGAACTTATCCTGTAGCCTCCCTAGCGGGCTGATTATGTCCATATTTCTGTGCTCAAAGCGGTACATTTTTCTGTAATTTTTAGAAATAACTCACTGAAATTTGTTCGAACAAGAGTCTAGTAAACGTCCCAGGTATGTTAAAATTTGAAACACGAAATCATAAATTATAATTTAATAAATAATCCTAAAAAATATTAATATAATATAAAAAAAAAATTTAATTAAATAATGTAATCAAACCAAAAACACTGAAATTTGAAATATAGCGCCAAGTTCGCACATCACTGAGCAAAGTCGCAAATTCATTTTCAGTGTCTGATGACGAATTTCCCCACGAATCATTATCACTCAATTCAGCAAGTGATTCTAATTTACTATCGCTGTTCTCTAGCTGGTCTAAAACCGCTTTTGACCTAAAGGGACGCTTTTTGGACACCATGGACTTTTCTCAGTTTCCAGGCAGAAAGAACAGTAAAAATGCAGGCAGGGCACAGGAGAAAGCACTAGGGACAAAATGTATGTGAAATGGTTTGATACAGTAATGTTTTACTATGCGATTTTAGTGAATTTAGTGAATGTCACTTTTACAACTTTCAAATTTCCCTTCAGTTCCGTCCCCGTACCTTCTAGACACTCGCAGGGAGCAGAACCCGGAAGACAGATATCGGCATCGGCCGGAGGACATTGCCGTGGATGCTGCAGACATCGGGGGACATCGCAGGAGCGAAGGACAAGGTAAGTGAAGAAGAGATCCCAGAGCAGTGCTGCAATGTATTCCTGAGTGTAGCTCGGGGTTACCGCTTGTGGTACTGAAACTTTACCCCGAGCTACACTCGGGAATACCGCCAGGGAGGTTATGGCAAAACCTTTTTGGGATTTGGATAGAGGGTTAGAATTTTATTGCTGTATATGTCCCCATTAGGAAGATTTACTATTTAACTGCCCTAATTGCCAATGTCACAGGGAATGAATGTGAGGGTGTATCCAAAATTTTGCATTACCACAGTAATAGAGGGGAAATCTCCCAATTGGGACAGTAGTTCCCATGTTGATAAGAGGGATTTTCTTCTCATCAGAAAGATATCCTAATTTTCTAGATGACAGGAAGTGAAAAATCCTGAAAGTGATTTTAACCTTTCCTTACTTTGTCCAAAGTGAAAAATGAAGTTTTGGCTTTAGATATACTTTTAATCTTTGAATGTAATATAGATAATTTATTATGTATATAACATAGAAAATACTTATTTTGTGACATGTTCATAATTAAAACTGTTTTATGTACAAGGTAATAAAAAAATATACATTTAAATTCTTATAAGCAAAGAAAACACATTCCCGCAGTTTCCTAACTGGACATACTGACCGCTTTCTCCAGATATGCCTGTACTGTCTCCCGCTTTTCATATTAACTCTGAAACTGTCCCAACACCAAGGGTACACATTCCAGAAAGCAAAGACAATGTTAACCCTCAGCATCCATCATGCGGCACGGGATACCATGTGTCCTTCAGAAATGGCCTGTTAGGATCCTCAGGGACAACTGATCTAGCAAAGCACTTAATTCAACGAGAATTAGTGAGCACCGGGCTACTAACATTTGATCAACTGGAAAATTCCTCCTGCGCTTAAAGGAAGTGATACCTAAATAATGAAGCTGCCAACACTCTAAACTGATACCTTAACAGTGAAATAATCTAATAAAAAATAGTGCAGTGCTAAAAAACTTAAAACAATACCAATAATCTAATAAATAAATCATGCAATTGTAACACACAACATAATGATTAGTGATGAGATCGAAGATCTAAATGGTGTACATACTGACTAAAGTGCTCAAAACATGCATACTGAGGTCATCTCCACGACCTCTATAAAGTGCGAATAATACCACACGAATTAGTGCAAACATACGCCCCTAAACACCTCCTACTGAAAAGTAGATATATCTTAAATCTCCTACAGTTGGGGAAATGACACACAAAGTGATTTGTGCACAATAAATACTTTACAGTGACCAAACTGATAATAAATAAATACCAAATGCAATCATAAAATTAAATAGTAAACAATATATATATGTAACAAATAAAGTCTCTATTAGTCCATAGATCTTCCAATCAATTGTGTTTCAAAAACAACCTTCCATGCAGAGTGAAAACGTTGTGAAAATTGTGATTGTGTCAGCAAACATATCCTCAATGGCTAAATTGCCCCCTCACCTCCTTTTAGCGACCCACCGGGCCATCTCCCTTTCAGGATCACTCCAGGATCCTTATCAGGCAATAGCTGGTATTAGTAGTAATCCACCTGTGGTCCCCCTCTCTGCTGGTTAGCACGGTACTCCAGGCCTCTCTCGACATGTACATCTGCTATATGACATACTCTCCCACATGAACCACTGTGAGAGACAAAAGATCCTCCATAGTGTAGTAATTTAAAGTAATAAAGCCTTTATTTAAAGTAACAAATGCCCACTCACTTGTATAATGTGACAAACTCGCATATGAACCTCATGCTTTGGTGTACTGCAAGGGTTAGGAATATTGGGTGTCCTAAGATGGCATCCACGCCGGATGAGCATCTCCGCGTACTGGAAGCTGTGTCACCTCGTACCAATGCGTTGCGTCACTGAAATCACGTGACTTCCTCAGGGTAATCCTCAGGATTACCCTGAGGAAGTCACGTGATTTCCGTGACACAACGCGTTTGTATGAGGGGTAATCCTGAGGATTACCCTGAGGAAGTCACGTGATTTTAGTGACGCAACGTGTTGGTACGAGGTGATGCAGCTTCCTGGAGTGATCCTGAAAGCGAGGTGGCCCAGTGGGTCGCTAAAAGGAGGTGAGGGGGCAATTTAGCCATTGAGGATATATTTGCTGACACAATCACAATTTTCACAAAGTTTTTAATCTGCATGGAAGGTTGTTTTTCAAGCACAATTGATTGGAAGATCTATGGACTAATAGAGACTTTATTTGTTACATATATATATTTTTTACTATTTCATTTTATGATTGCATTTGGTATTTATTTATTTATTATCAGTTTGATCACTGTAAGGTATTTATTTATTGTGCACAAATCACTTTGTGTGTCATTTCCCCAACTGTAGGGGATTTAGGATATACCTACTTTTCAGTAGGAGGTATGGAGGGGCGTATGTTTGCACTAATTTGTGTGGTATTGATCGCACTTTATTGAGGTCGTGGAGATGACCTCAGTATGCACATTTTGAACACTTTAGTCAGTATGTACACCATTTAGATCTTCGATCTCATCACTAATCATTGTGTTGTGTGTTACAATTGCATGATTTATTTATTAGATTAATATTATTGTTTTAAGTTTTTTAGCTCTGCACTATTTTTTATTAGATACTAACATTTGATGATTGCCCCGAGAACTACTGGGCATGGAAGACATCTTTCCTAGGCATCATCAGAGATCTCGGTCTTACAGCTAGAGAGGAGCTAGATCTGCTAACAAAGTGGCTCGGATTAGAGTCATCTTGACAGGCCAAGAAAATCAAATCTGTTCAAATTCATGATCCAGCTGCTGGGGTTAAAATGGTATGACAGAGATTAGAGGACTGTTATGGAAGCCCTGAAGCTATTTAGAATGCTCTGTTGAAGAAACTGGAAGACTTCCCTAAAATCTCTAAAAAAGACAACCTAAAGTTAAGAGAACTTGGTGACATGTTGTTGGAGGTCAGTTCAGCCAATACCGAAGGCCACCTTACCAGGACTGGGATATCTAGACACAGCACGTGGGATTAAACCAATAATTGAAAAGCTCCCATACAATCTGCAAGATAAGTGGATTTCTTAAGGCTCTAAGTACAAAAAAAGAGCATTGTGTCTCCTTCCCACCATTCAATTTCTGTCAGAAGACAGAGGTGTCAGCCACTAATTCAACTTTACATCATAACAACTCTGAAAAGAAGTCTATGGACCCAGACAGTTCATGCCCAAACCATAAAAAAAACCACACCCATTGACAAAGTGTTTTGGATTCAGAAGCAAGCACATTGACTAACATAAAACTTATGTGAAAGAAAATGCTATCTGTGTCAGATGTTGTACATCCACCAAAAATATTGCTAAAGACTAC